AAACTTTTTTGCAAATGACCTTGAAATGTGAATTTTCATTTAGTGAAAAATGTCATTTGTAGTTCTTTGCCAAATAATCAAAGAGTGTATATGTTGTAGGTCGAGACTTGAACCGGAAGGTTCGGAGTTCGCGACCTGCACGTCCCGTGAAGTACGGCTCGCGTGCCTGGCGCATCTGTTGCACACACGACCTACACGACACACGATACATATATGTATATACATACATATATATACATATATATACATATATATATATACATATGTATACATATATATATATATATATATACACATATCTGTATATATATATGTATATACGCTCTTCTTTCGCGTACGTGCGTTCACACTGACATTCGTAAAGTCAGTGTGTGGTCAGTGCCAATTTACCATTCGCTTCTACCTACGAATTAGCGTTTGGCCACATACGTGCATGGGACCACCGCTAACCTCTCGAGTTTATGGTTTCGGCACGCCTTTGCATTCTCGCCAACCATATAGGTATATAACACAACGCGTTATCGGCTTGAGAATAAAGGCCCTCACTGAGCCCATCAAAAGATTTTGAGTACACAGTAAAAATCTTCATTCTGGGTGGCTGCCTCACGAAAGTATAAAAAAAAGGGCACATCACTTTATTCCCAATGTTGTCAATCATGTAAATTGGAATTTATGACATACAAGAAAAATATCTGTAAATTTTATTGTCTGTATATTAATAATAATATTTTATTTATTTTTTAAATTATAATTTCGGATAAATGATATTATCAATGGGTCGTAAGTGCAGTGACCCGTGAACCCGTACTTTTCCAATGAACCGGCTTTCACTTCTGTCTGATGTTGAAGTCGATCGCAAAAGAGTGACGTTTTCAGGTCTTGAAATATAAGAAGAAGAAGCTCGTCGAGGATCGTTGTTCAATGCGAGTAAATAAATAGAAGAAGCATTTAAACTTACAAAAGGCGTTGTCTATATATGAATTATAGACATTCGATCGAATTTTACGTAATGCTTTTATATACAAGATTCTATTATACCATTCAGACATATTGTTAATCGATTACGTCGCATTTCATTTGAATCAGCAAATGAGATTTATAATACGGTAGAGGTAATTAGATCTATAATGTAAACTAAAACCTAAAATCGTCTTATATAGAAATCGAATTGAGAATATATAACAATATCAAGTTACAAGGATTGTAAAATTATATAAAAACAATTGAAAATTTTGATAGAAAAAAAAGATTTATTCTTAAAAATACAAATTTAGAAATTATAATAACAAGACATTCCATAAAGCACAGTTTCCACGCAAGCGACAGTAAATGGGTAGTTAAGTACCGCGAGACGTGTCTCCGTTTATTTGGATATTTTTGGAGTGTGGGTGAATCACAGTTTGGCCGCGGTGAATTGCTACTCGCCGCGCTACTGTGCTTCTCCGCTAGCTAAATCACTTATTTCAGAAATAACGCCGCTAGCAAATTAATAATCGTGAATTCTATTCTAAAATCCTATATCCCAAGTGTCTCTTTGCGGTAACCCCTTTGCAGGAATGAAGAGGGAAGAGGGGAACGCAAAAACAAGAAAATCGCTTTGCGCTCATATCTCTGCTTCTAAAATCGCTATACGCCGTATGCACTTTGCCAACGATCTTAAGATTCGATATTCGGTTTATATATATGTGACGACATTTGTACGATCCTTCTATATATATTAATAGATGCTCACCAAAATGGTGTATAATTATCTATATACAATATTCTCGAAATGTATTTTAGTTTTCAACACAAAACTGAATTATCACTAATAAATATATATACGAAGAAGAGGAAGAAAAACAGGAATTAGAAAAATTATATTAATTAACTTAATGAAAAAAAATAATGGCATTATAGTTTATTAAAATATAATTAAAGTAAATGAATTCCAATATATATGTATGCAAAAGTTAAATGTTTATATACTTATCATCAGTTTTACGAGAGGACCGCGTGACTCATATTCAAGTTTTAACGTTCTACGGAAAGTGGTGCCGCCAGTCGGGGATTTCGTAAAGCTTGTCAGGGATTCCCCTTCCGATACGGTGTTGGGAACTTTGTTGAGAAGAGTGGGGAAGTGAGTTCCCTCCAAGGGAGTTTCGAGACGAAAGGGGAAGCTGAGATGGTATGCCAGAAAAACTTTTGTCCATTCAGAGAGAATGCATGCACCCTAAATAGGAAGTACGTTGAAAGATATCTTTTTCCTATATATATATACATGGACCGGAAGTAACGACATTTCTTTAACAATCTTATATACGAATAGATATGGAAACAAAAATCTTTAAAAAAAAAAGAACACAAAATATATTGGTTAAAGTAATTTTAATTAAAAAATCAATTGGATATTTCCGATAGGAATTACAAATTGAAAACAATTGAAAAATTCAATTCAGAAAGGGTGAGTGAAAAGACAACTATACATGTATATATAGTTGTTCTCATTTGGTAATCAAGAAACGTTCGAAACGGACAGATGGACGAGTTCACTTTGAATAATCTCGTAACTTGCGAAGTGCTCAGAAGCACTTTAGCAACGTGATGTAAATTATTTCATGATATATACATATATTTGTGCCACACAAAAAATTATTTCTAGAAATATAATTAAAAAATTATTTTTCAATTTAAACATTTCTCTTCCTATACGAGAATTCGTAATTATGCGAAAACATTTTTCTTTCATTATTACCTTAATTTAATATTTTTTTTAAGTGAAATTAGTATATATATATATATATATATATATATATATAGGAAGCTGCTTTGATCAATAGACATAATTATGGAACTATGTGCTGTTAATATAGTGCACAATTACTATGCACTAATTTTCGCCTCTAAGCAGGTGTATTTTATTGAAAACATATAGGTATAGTTGGGCAATAACTATATAGCATACTGTCAACAGTTTGTCACTTATGATCACTTAATATCTTTATTACTTGAAAATCTTTTGACAAAAGATGACAGAATGTAAGAATTTTCAGTTTACTATAAACTCACTGATCCTATAGAAAATCTTCTATATATTATTATTGTACTCAGAACGGAATCCGGAAAAAAATGATTATTTCAATAACAAATATAGAAATACCGGAAGGCAAGCCGGAAGGTATCCTGTCAAAATTCCAAAAAGGATCAAATTCATTATATATGTTTATTTAGGTGCGGCGTATATAGAGATTATTTCAAATTTACATGCGTCTGATGTTTACGCGCATTTCAAAATACACTCAGTTTACTTAACAGGCGTAAGTCGTTGAGTGCCTTTCTGTCGCTGTGTGACACGAGAAGCGCGACAATCTCGCAGACGCATACATCTATATATATATATATACTATATAGATTCAAAGCCACATTCCCACAAGTTGTATTCGATTCCCTTGAAATCTTCCAACTATCATCTATACCAAAACAACAAGCATCCGACAAACTTCTCGACCCCAAAACGATCATCAACCCCAAATCGCCCAAGTGACCGAAAATCTGACTAACGACCAATTACAAGAACACTCCAAAGGATTCCCTAGATAGCATTTCAAGACATTTGCCAAGGAGATAGAGATTCTCACTTGATTTTACTAAATCATTTTTTTTTTTCATTTATTTTCAAACAGATTTATAATTCGATTTAATCTTATATCTATCGAGTGAAAATTTGCCATACTCATAATAATTTCATGGAACATTTTTAAAATAGCCTAAGGTAATAAGGCGTTCGAACTTATATATATATGTATTTATATAGAAATTATCCTAGCGGGGAAAAGTATTATATTATCGAGATTGATTGGAGCGAAACGAACGCCATAATATATCGAAGCGTAAAGTCGTTAATTTTCCGGAACTTATATTCTTAACGCCAATCAAAGTCAATTGGTGCTCCGAAATATATATATATACGCCAGTTAAGAAAGATAGAAATATCTCGTAAATGAAATTCGCAACGGTTTTCGATACAATTCTCATCTTTTATGCGCGCCAAAAACCATCATTTTTGATGATCATTTATAACGATATTATCTGATGTGTGTCAATCATCTATATGATTTTCGGGTACAGATTTACAAATTTAATATTAGATAGCGCTTCAAGTGATGGCGAGAATGAATTATTTAGGTCGACCGGTGCTTAATTTCAAGTCATTTAGATGAACGGTAATTGCTTCGCCCAAAATTGAGCTTTATACATATATATATATAACTTTTGCATCAGTGTAAGATCATTGCTACAACATTTAGTTAATAATCTCTATATTCTCAATAAAGATCTATTCTCAAAATGATGTCTTGATTTTCTTCATACCCCCCTTCTATATATATTATCCTATATAAACGAAATTTCTCTCCGAATTTAAATTATAATACAGAATCTTTGTCTGTCAAATTATCTTTAAATCTTATTTATATATCAATATTATATTCGATTCGGCACGCTTTACAAAATTTAAATAATTAATATTTTTTTCTCTTCGATGAATTTATTTAAATATTGGGGAAAAAAATGTAAATCGAATTTTAAAATTTTTAAAATAATATTGAAAACTATTATATAAGAAAAATTTGTTGTAAAAAAATCCTTTTGAAAAATTTGTAATTAGTTTCGGTATTAATGTTTTTGAGATATTCAAGACTGATTAATTTAACTACGGTGAGTATATATTTGCAAATTTGTTTTTCATTCAGTGTTTTGACAATAGCTTTCCTGCCATCGGGGGCAATGTTTAGTTGCATTCTACATTCGACCTCGTTCCCTATCCCGATCGGACTTCCTCTGACAGTTAAACGTTCGACCTACTGGCGTACAACATTCCAACCCTCCGGATTATCTCACCCCTAGTTGTACACTTTTCAAATTTTTTTTTGAAATTCTAATAATTATTTTTCTCGTCTTTCATTAAATTTGGGAAAAAGGATTTTTTTTTTCAACGCCAAATAAATGAGAGTAGAACTTACCTGTTGCCAGAATTGCATGAGCAAGTAGATACGTTCCTTTCTGAAGAGCCATTCCATGGACTGCATTGCCTGGAGATCGAAGGTACTTGCTTCAGCAGAGGCCTGCATGTCTTTTAGAGAGACAGCAGAATTTAATGAATTAAGAAGTGGCTGTTGAAGTGCCGTTGTCACGATGTTATTATTGGTACCAGTTACCAAATTAGCGTGATAAATTGTAGCGGGCGCATGATTCTCTGTACCGCCAGAAGCCAATAATTGGGCCCCGATTGGCGCAGAAGGCCCCTGGAGCCCCAGTGACGAAGCCACTTTGACGGCTTCGATCTTCTCCGGCGGTCCCAAAACAATTCACACTCTCTCACGCACACACACAAAACACACGCGCGAGCGCCACAAGTTCCACCACAAGATTCTGCTAGCAAAATCACTTTAATTTTCGTTTCGGCATCGATGCCACAAATCACTGGCTCATTTAATAAAAAAAAACCGAAATTTTTTTTGTTTCCTCGCCAAATAAAATATGTGGCGCAATTTTTTGGGATTCTCCTTGTTTTGTTTATTTAAACCATCAGCGGTTTAACTATAAAACGATGTCGAACCCGACAACGAGGCATTGTTATGATCATCAGTTTCAACACTATAAATTTGTGACACTCGTTTATGCACTTAATTAACGTTAGTTCACTCTAATCCCACTGTTGCACAATAACCGATTTGAAAAATCGTTCCACAAAACACTTTTTTTGCACAAAGATCGTTTTTTTAATTTTATCCGTTAATAATTGTTCCAATGATGTTGATGATTTAATCAACCATGCCAGGTCAATAATCCGATTGATGTGAATCACTTTTTTTTTTTCGTTTTGAAAAAAAAAGGGTTGCTCCTTATTCGATCCAACAAGAGAAAGAGACCCTTCCTAGCAGGCTCCTAACCTGAAACTAAGAGCTACCGGAGGACCGATGCATTGCCTGGTGGGAGGGCGATGGGTTAAATGGAGGGGATGGGAGGCGCTTAGTTGGCAAAGTGGGGGTTAAGCCAACCCACTGAGTGACGAATCGAGTAGCAATACACATCCCCTCCATTGTGAGTGAACCGCCGACTGAAAGCAACATTTCACATAGTGAGAAAAGAGAGAGGGGGGGGGTGGAGATATAACTTTTGGAGTGGGATTCCACTGGAAAGAAGCGGAGGCTGGCAAGGTGGCACCTAAACGAGGATCTCGTAGTTTCAACTCCCCGACCTAGGCGCCTGCCGCCCCTTTCCAATCCCGTCCTGCCAATCGCTAGTTTTTCTCGAACCCCTTTTCTTGATGATGTGAACGAATCGGTCGCCTTTTTCGATACCGGATAAAGTAATGTCCCTGAGGTGTCCTTCGAATTCGTACTTGAAATGTCGGTTTTATCCCTAAAATAATCAGAAAACCGACATTCTCACGATTTTAAAGGGCTTGAACTTTTATTTTTAATTCCTTAAATTTAATATTTCAAAATTATCATCAATATTATTATTTTTTTTTTTTAAATAAATTTATTAAGAAATTTAAACATTTAATTAACTTATTATTAAAATTCATTTTAAAAAATGTAATGTTTATATTATAAATAAATTCATTTAACAAATTACATTTATAAAATAAAATTTTTATTGCAAAATTATTTTTTTTTTATATCTCGATTCTTTTTATGTTGATATTATCTCATTCTTAAAAGAACTTTTAATAAAAAAAGAATAATAATAATAATAATTGCAGTTATATAAGGCATTGTATAATTGCCCCTGAATGAAAATAAATATCGTTTCTAAAAGGCGACAGATTCACAATAAATAAACTGATTCAACAAACTCACCAGTTCATTCTTCGTAAAAAAAAAAAAAAAAAATCAAAAAACATTTTACATCTTTCTTGCTCAATTATAATTTTCTCTGAAATCGAATCGACATATTTTTTTTTATACACGGAAAGGTTAAAGTTTCAATTAATAATTCACAGTTAAATTATATAGTTCATGATAAGTTCACACTTTCACAACCCCCTTTTTTTTGTCGATTAAAATAAAAGTTTGAAGTTTCTATACCTCCTCAATATAACACCAAGTTTTGAAAAAAGAAAAAAAAAAAAAAATTGTCACGATAGGGATATATATAATTGTGAAATCTCTGAGAAACGTGACACATTTGTACCGCCCTCAGGTGAGAAGATAGTTATATGAGGTGTATTAAACCAGGAGAGAGCCCCCTTATGTCATATATAAAAAATAGGCTAATAGTACAACGCGTGCGGATAATAGCTGTTCAGAAAGGGTTATACCCACTATATATACACCGCCTTTTACCAAGGTATCGCGAACTTCACACCCGCGTTAAAATAAGCGTTTGGTTTTGCACACACAGTATATATATATATATATGCATTATTACCGCACATAGAAGCCAGAAACGATGAATTAATTAATTTTACAAAATAGTTTAGTAATTTTCATCTCATTTCTTTAAAGTATGCTTATATTAACAAATTTTCTTTAAAAAAAATTATTTTTTACATTAATATATATATATATATTTAAATATTTGAACGAATTTTAAATAAATTATTTTCGAATTTTTTGTTTTTAAAAATAAATTTCATTTTAAAGCAATGATTAAAATAATTTTGTTTTTAATATAAAGATTGAAAAATATACAACGTGGAAATTGATTTTCAAAGACAAATATAAAAAAAAAAAGTTTAAACACGGACTAGTGCGGGTAAATAATTTATTAAATGTAGTGTAAAGACGCATAACAAGAGTGAAATGGTTAAGTGAGCTTTAAACTTCGAACTAGCAAGGGTTATGAATATAGCGTTACCAATATTTATCGTTCCAAACGCCTACGATTATATGACAACCAGTTGTCAACGGTTGCTTTACGATCACAACCGTGTATAGAACGAGGATTAGTTTGTCAACGCTATATAGAAGCAAAACTGTCCGCCGCGCGTGCATTCATCTCCGTGGCTTTTAACTTTCTCCCTCAAAAGTCAAATTTCATTCTATTTATTTCTTGTCCTTATTAGAGAGAAAATTCAATTTTTTTTTATATCTATTATCGTTACATCAAAAGATATTATTTTTAAAAATAATACTTTATAGGTATTTGTCCATCTGTCTGTCTATTGGTCCGTATAAGAAATATATATCTACGATCTAATAAGCAAAACATATGTTAAGTTAAAAAATTCCTTTTTCGAAATATCTCATTCTTTTCTATATATTTTTTTTTAAATATTAATTTTATTTATTACAAATTAATTTTTGAAATTTTATTTTTATAAATTAGAAGGAATGCAAATTTTTCAAGTCGCACGCTACTCAATACCATTTCACGCGATAAAAGTCGGCATCAAGGGGGACAGGGCCTCGTCTTCATCTAGCGCGATTGTAATAATATCTTAAAGGATAAACGCCTTCGTCGGTTTCTTCACAAGTTCAAGAGCCGCGCTCAGGGACATCTCTCCCTTTCCATATAGGCGCAGGAGTAAGCAAATTTTTCTTCAACGATAAGATAAAAGCATCATGAGAATTTGTAATTCGGTTTTTCACGAATAATACAATTGCCATTCGTAATTTTCTTTTTTTTTCTGTCATTTCTAATACTCGAAAAATTTCACTGCGGGCGATTTATCGCAATTTTTTTTTCTTTCTCAATATTTATCATTATTTCTATTCAATTAATACACGAATTGTACAAGATGGGTGAATTTTTTTTGAAACTTGTGGGAAAAATTAAAAAAATTCTAATTTTTATCGCACAAGTTTCAAATTTTGTAAGAGAAATCTTTTCTATATAGAATGTATGTATATGATAAAGAGAGAGAGGCGGAGCAAGAGAAGTTGGTTGACCGCACTCCTTATAGTGAGATAAAGGGCAGAGTATTATAGTATGTAGTAGTCGAGACGATCAAGAATCCGACCTATGGTCACGTTTCTGGCAACTCGGTTCGACTTTCAAACTGACATTTTATTCTTTAAAAGCACTACCGATTTTATGCGCACGTATTTTTCATACTGATGACAAACATTTTTTTCTCCTACTTAAAAACAAAACAGTTATTTTTTTCTCGGAGAAAAAAAAACACTAAATTTTTTTTTGTAAAATATTGAAAAAAATTTCTGAATATAATTTAAGAAATTTTACAAAAATAAAATTTTCACTATAATTTTTAGAAAATAACTTTATATAACCCATATGAAATTTTCACTTCGTCAAAAAAAAAAAAAAAAGTAAAAATTTCATCACTGTTCTTCAATTGGAAACAATATATAATTGAGCAAGAAAGTATGGACCACTTATAAAAAAATCACAATCACAGAACTTAAAAAAAAAAAACTCACTGGTGTGTTTTAAAAAAAAAAATTCACTTTCGGCGGTTCAAAAATTTTTTGGAATCAAGGGGGTGGGAAAAATAAATAAACACTGGACATAGTGGTACGTACTAAGTGATAAAACTGGAACGATGTCACGAGAGACTTGTGTTGATTTGTCTCATTGATGATATAGATATATATGCACGTATTTGTATATATATATATATATATTTATTATAACTATATATATATGGACGTACGATTGTGAAGGGTCCTGTTAGGCCTGTGTTCTGGCCGAGACTAAACTCGAACTCGGTTTCTGCAGCCCTCGCTAGTCATCCCTCCGCTGTACGCACTTTCATCCCCCCTTGCAAAACTATTGACCCTAAAAATTTCTTTCTAACTAATCTTTTCCATTTATAATAAATTTTATTCTATTTTTTGAAAAACACATTGTAATAATTATTTTTCTCAATTAAATATTAATTTATTGATGAAAAAAAAAAAAAAATTTACAAACTAAAATCAATGAATGTGATTTATAATCATGTGGGACAATAGTTATGCCGATGAGGTAACTAGGGAAAGCAAGAGTGTAGGCCAGTCGGTGGCGCCATACAGCGGATTGATGATAAAACTGAGATGAAGGCATACAAACGGGGGTGGCATCCCCTCTACTGAAATTTCATAGAAGAGATGCGATGCGCCTTTCTCCCCCACTATTGCCAATCGTCGCACTCTCTACCCTTCGCTTCACCGGGATTCACCACCAAACACGCGCAACTATCGGGATGTCCTCTATATACGAGAGATAGATATATTGGAAGTATCGGTGACTTTAACGGGACGATCAGAAACGTCGACCTTCGATTTTGATCAGCTTTGCTGATTCCAATGCATTTTACATATATCCATACGAAGATATAGTTATAATATATTCAAAATTTTTCTTTGAAAAATATATTATATTTATCTTTTTTATTCGATAAGAAAATTAGAAATAAATTCAGTTGAAAATTACACATGAAAAAAGAAATATCTTATTTTAAGTATAGTGGTATCGTTTTCATCTTAATGTCTTAAAAACGTTACCAAAACATCTTAAAAGATACTTCTTTTTGCAGTATATTTAATATAATTTGTTACACATTAGTGTCTTATAGGTGTCTTGTTTTAAGGCATTAGGTGTCTTAAGGTTCCCCCACAGCACCGGATATTTAAGGATATCCCTGGGACATCCTGGGGATATCCATTTGCTTGTGGCGGTTTGGATATCCCTCGGACATCCTGAGGATATCCTGCGACATCCCTGGGATATCAAAACCGCCGCAAGGCAATGGATATCCCCAGGATATCCTAGGGATATCCAAACCGCCGTAAGGCAATGGATATCCCCAGGATGTCCTAGGGATATCCTTAAATATCCGGTGCTGTGAGGGTTGTCTCGAATTATCTGATTGGTTAGAAATATATATACCTAAGACGTTATCTGCTTGGTCGAAATCTAAGACAAGACAAAAATGTCTTAAAAATGCGGCTTCCCACAAGACACCTAGTTTTTACATTGTTAAATGAGTCTTAATAATATTCAAAGTTAATATTAAAAATGTCTCAAAATAACCTTATTTATGAAAATATTTATGAAATACCGAATTTATTTTTTAAAAAAGTGTCTTATTTTGATATACATATTTAGTGTCTTTAATTAAGATATTTCTAGTATCGTTTAAATTTAAACTTTCTCTTATTAAATTGTCTAATCGTATGAGTAAAACGGAAAGTAGTGTCTTACTAAAGACATTTTTGGTATCTTGAAACTATTTTACCATCTAAGAAACAATAAAAAAAATTTCTTATTTTGACATTTTTAGTACAAAAAAATGGCTTTTGTAGTATATACTAAAAAATTTCTTAAATTGAAACACCAGTTTTTGAAACAGAACATAAGTGCAAATATATTCGGTATTTTCACAATTATTTTCATAAATCATAATTTGAGAAATTTTAAGTTTAAGTAAGACACTTGTTAAATATTAATAATCACTAAAAATATCTGTTTTAATGACAAATTCAGAATTTATGATTATTTTTTTTAGTTTTTTTCAAAGTGTCTTAAATTTTATTTTAACTATTAAAATGTTTTCTAATATAGAAGACATTTAGTGTCTTATATTGGTTATTAAATATATATGTTTTAAGATCTTTTCTTTTTAATATGGAGAGATTCTCGTAAAAAAAAGTATATATATATATATAGCTATTTGGTCGTCCAGCAGATCTTATTTCCAATCGCATTGGAAGTCAAAGCTTGGTTGGGTGGCGGAAGGGTTTATACTATAAAGTAAGAGCATGCGCTTAAAAGGGGTGAACTCTAGCGCGCAGGTGCTATCCTTTATCTCCCCACTTTTCTCGAGTGCGGACAGTCATTCTGTTTCAAGTTTTTATCTTGAGTTTCAACTCAATCTCTCTCTCTATATATATATATATATATATATATGCAACTATAGTATTTCGAAAAGTTCAATACTTTCATCTCTTATTTCACATATATTGCGATTTTACCTGATGCAACCAATATGTAATGCTACGTTTGCTAACGCAGCGGATTTGATTCAAGTTCCTTATATTCTATTTAGTTTGAAACGATCTTCGAATATAAGATATATATATACTTCCGGCTTAAGACGCGAGCTGGTCGGCCAAGAACAGAAGCGGTTTTTAAATCGAGATTGAAAATCTTATGTAACATTTACAAACGATATGGCAAAAATGAGTTTGTTGTAATTCTTTCGCAAATCTGGTTCCCAGAAATGTTATTACCATATATACATTTTTTTTTTTTTGCAGCATTCAATTGCTGGAATTGTTCGCATGTGTACTCATTTTTGTATATAAGCTGTCTAAACAAAAATTTCAAAATGTTCAATCAATTCAAATATATATATATAAAATTCTAATTAATTTTATTTAATTTCTGAGTTGTTTTATAATTTATTGATATACTTTTAATATAAAATATTTTTTTTCACTTTTTTATGATTCAAAAATAGATTTACATTTTTATAAATATTTATATTGAAAGAGAACAATGTAATTATCTATTTATTATATACATTATATTGTTCATATCAGCATGTGATATGATTGCATTTTTTTTCTTTTTATTTAACTAAAAGGAATTTGTTCTGTCAGTAAAGTGTCTTGAACTATCTCTCTCTCTCTCTCTCTCTCCCTCTCTCTCTTTGGAACATATAAAACAAAGCTTTTGTTTGCAATGTTTTCATTTTCGCTTTATAAGATCATTAAATGAATACATGCGGTTACAATGTGACTCGATTATAAAACGACTGGCAATGTAGGACAGGATAACCATGAGATCGTATTTCGCATTACGTGTGACACTTAACACCAGTCTATATACTCATAGAGGGAATAGACGATTACAAGCGATAGCACTTTGTATTCCTGGAATTTCAAGGTATATAATAATGATGGTTTCACGTTTGTGTGTCTGATTCCCAATCCTCCAATGGTTGTGTATATATAATAATAATTGTATAACTATATGTTAATTTTATGAATCAGATCATTATACTATCATTGTAACTTAAATACTATATTTATTTTGCTGATTCTTGATGAATCTCACAAAAATGCAAAAAAAAAAAATTAATTTTTGCATACCTTAGCATACACATATATAAAAATATGACTTACCATTTTTAATGTTATTTCATCCATATTTATATCCTTCTTTGTATATATATATAAGATTATTCTATTATATATCCTATCTCACTTTTAACACAAAAGATATTTCATTCGTAAGATAATTTTGAAAATAAAGAATATAAGGGGTTGAGAGATGAAACTTAAATTAACGCGATCTGATCTTGACGACCAACGAGTAAAAATGCAATACATATTAATAAACTTTTTGAATTGTTATATATACCGAAATTTCTCATTGACAATAATATATACACAGACGCGCACACACGGGTTGCTTCCTCTCTTGTTGGTATATATATATATGATATCCGGTTTAATTTATGCAAGGATATATGCCGAAAGGAGCTTCATGTGCGACCGATCGAACAAACACAAGGCGATTGTCATTATGATTTATACACGGCTGCATTGCAAGTACAAAACAGAGAGAGAGAGAGAGAGAGAGAGAGAGAGAGAGAGAGAGAGAGTAACCTGATGAGAGCGCTCTTGAAACTCAGAGAGTTAAACGTGCAGTTTGATTGGTTGACCTGCTTTTTTGGTTCTCTAATTCTCGTATATTTTATAATTTAAACTTTTTTTTTAATATGTGTGGGAATTTTTTTTTCCATCTCTATATATATTTATCGCCTTATTGTTTCTCATGAAACAGTGAGGGATAAAAATAAGATTCATTATAAAAAAAAAGTTTTTCAATTGATTTTAGTGCGACAATTAATAGAATCAATTTGTGGGGTAAGAGAGAGAGAGAGAGAGAGAGAGAGAGAGAGAGAGAAAGTCCAGTGCGGCGCAAGTTCATGAAGTCGAGTTTATAGTATATATATATATATGGTGGGAGTCACATTCCAACCGAGATTAATTCGGAGCAAAGAGGAATTTAGCACCTATCTCCGTCGGCCATCGTTGTGGCCCGCACGTGTATATAGTGTATCAGTGGCGGCGTTTGCTTGGTCGCCGCGAAACCATTTTCCAGCAATTATTCAGTAACATTGTAAAACAATCAGCATGCTGCAACCGTCTTCACGCAATTCAAACCTCTTCCATATATATATACTCTGCATGAGAGTAGCTAAAATGGAACTTTGCGCGCGCAAAATCCCCAACTTACTCTCTCTCTCTCTCTCTCCCTCCCTTGAATGAAATAATTTAATTAAAATACCATAAAGATTTTAATAACTTTCACAAATTCAAATTTCACTGGATTAAATTAACCATTGGGATACACAATTAAGAACTTGGTATATATATATATATGGTTTGGCATTACATTTATTTGTAAATGAATATGAATATTATTTGAATATAGTGTACTTTGATATATATAGTTAAATTTGTAAAACAATTCCTCACAGCAACGAATATTGCGCTGGTTCCGAAAATTTGGATATCCTGAGAATATACGTAGGATCCATTTTCTAAAGGCCGGTGAATATCCGGAAAAAATTTTTATATTAATACCTATAATAAAATAATAATTAATGCATATAAAATCTCAGGTAGAAAAATTAACATTACTACCGTTACTAATATTACTAACGTTACTAATGTTACTAACGTTAGT